TCTCTTCTTCCTTCCTTCCTTCCTTCCTCTCCCCTCCCCTCCCTCCTTCCTTCCTCCCACCCTCCCTCCCTCCCTTCTGTCCTTCCCTTTTTCTATTTTCTTCCACAGGAATTTTGCTTTAATAGTTTGCATATCATCATCATCATCATCATCATCATCATCATCATCATCATCATCATCATCATCATCTTAAGATTAATAATGACACATTTGTTTTACATACTGCTTAGATAGCAGCATAGACAGACAGACAGGCAGACAGACACTGTCCAGTCCTGGGGTCTTATCATACATCTCCACTAACTGCTTTCATTTCCAAATTCCCAGGCAGAATGATTGAAGGATCCCCAAGTATCTCGTATCATGGGGCTGTTTCTCTACGTCCTCCGTTCCCCTCTCTTTCCAACTTGGACTCCTGAGGGCTGCCCCTCGAGTGCCACTCACAATCCTCCTGCCAGATCCGACTGAAAACACTTACATGGGGGACAGCCATCTACTTCCAGTCATGGATGGGTCAGTGTCTCCTGCCTTTGCTGGATTAGTCCCTTCATACCCAGTCCTTTTCAAGCAAAGTCCTCATTTTTCTCCTCTTGCTGCTCTTCCTTTGCTTGTCTAGACTGGAAGCTGGAATGAGATTGAGAAATGGAAGAGCAGGGGAGTGGCAGTGAGGCTGGCTCTGTTTGCAGGCACAAACACACACTCCTGGTTTCTCCAGTCAACCTCCAAGTTGGGACTTGTGGGAGGAAGGAAGACCACACCCCTGGTTTTTCTTCCTCCAACAAGTCCCAACTTGGAGGATGAGCATGCCTGTGTATCCCTTTTCTTTTCATGTTTCCTCCTCTCTCTTTCGCCTTAGCCTCTGGCCAGCTGTCAACCTTCCCTTCCTGTGTCATCACTTCATTCACAGAAATCTCCCTCTGCTTGCTTCAGAAGGAAGGGACTAAACCACGGGGGTTTGGCTGGGGGAAGCTGATAACTGAACCCATTTATCCAGCCTTCCCTCACTGTGCAGTTTACACAATGCAGCGGGTGACTTGCTAAGTTTTCTGCAAAGGACCAAGGGTATTCTTTATTATTATTTGGGTCATTTAACTTTCAATGTACAAATGGTACCACTTACGGCACTGTCTTTCCCATCCTTGTGAAAAATATGGCAATGGAATTGTCCTTTTAAAATCAGTTTACACATACTGTTTGATTTTAGATATTTTTATCAGAAGATGCGTTTTTGTAAAGTTTTTCTTGGTTTTGCTCTCAAATTTTCCTATGTAAAGCAAAGTTATAAACATAAACAATTAACTTTTTTTATTCTCCCCCCAAAAAAACTTCAGTTCTGCCAGCTGTGAACTTTCCTACCCCACCATATTTATCCCCATCCTTGAAAAAAAAAAGGCCCAATGCCATCCTTTGTTTTCCTGCTTGCAGACAGGATGCAAAGGGCAAGTTTTACTTTGATACTACACCTGTATAATTTTCCCTGATGATCATATGCAAGTCCTTTGGAACCACATCAACCAGCTTTCCCTTCCTCCCAGCACAGCCTGTAAGCTTTGCATGATGAAATCCACAAATTTTCACAGTAGCGAATCTTATTGGAAACTGTGCATACAGTAGCATTGTGATATTTTATGGCACAGAAAGATGTTGTTCCAACTCTGTACCCCTTTGCAGTTGGCTAATCTGATGTGTTAGCTGCTAGGATGAGTGGATGGAGGGCTGGAGGGCTGGATGGATGAACTTTTCAAGGATATTGATTGGTTGATGATGAACCAATGGCAGATGTGTTCCGCCTCCCTCCTAAGATAGGGCCACTCCATCATGTCAGCATCACCTGGATCAGGGAAGGTGGTGGTGGTTATTGTCCAATTGGCATTAATGCAATTAATACAAGTAATTAATGAAGAAAGGCTCAGCGTTTGATTGCGGAACACAAATTGTGTTTATTAATACATTCACAGGAAGACATGCATTCAGTCTAGGGCAGTGTTGTCCAAACTTGGCCACTTTAAGATGAGTGGACTTCAACTCCCAGA